CCATCGATGGATGCGCCGATTTCAAGTGATTCCAACGATTGTTGCAGCAGCGATCTACGCGCATATTGGCCACGGACATTTTGTCCAAAACCAGGTTGCACCAGTACCTCACCGTCTACGAAAGCGACTTCGCCACGCAACACAACGCGGTGCACTTTGCCCTTCACCTTGGTGCCCTCAAAGGGCGTCCATTTCGCCTTGGAATGCATTTCTTCCCTGTTTATAGTCCATTCCTCATCCAAATCCACTTCAATGTAGGTGTTGGGCTGTTCGGGTAGACTGAAGATGCGTTTTGGATTGCGGTAAAATTTATTTTGTATGTCTTCGAGCGTCAAACGTCCATCGTCTACAGCCTTAAGTAACAATGGAAGTATGGTTTCCAAGCCGGGAAATCCTGGCGGTGGCTTCTCAGAGTTCTTTTCCTCCCACGTATGCGGTGCATGGTCAGTGGCAAATACATCGATGTAATTCATATTGTCCCACAGGGCCTGCTGATCGTCGGGTGAGCACAATACCGGTCGTACTTCTGCACGTCCTTCACCTATGGCCGGTATGTCGTCAGTGGAGAGAAATAAATGGTGCGGACAAACTTCACAGGTGACGCGTATGCCCTTTTCTTTTGCAGCACGTATCAACATAATCTCTTCCTTGCGTGCAATGTGGCAAATATGCACAGGGCGATCGAGCAGATGAGCCATGAGTATAACGGAACCCATTGTTTGTCGTTCCGCATGACACACGATTGGCGCGCGCTTTGGCCAATTTTGCATGTGTTTCTCCCACACAGTCATATCGGTCATTTTCAACGTGCTGAATGTGTCGTTGAGGTACATTTTCAAGCCACACGCTTGTGAAGCCAACTCACCAATGTGTAGCCAGTTGGTGTCAGAAGCGCCAACATAGAGCGCGTAGTCGCAACGTGCGCCAGCTTTAGCCAAATCTTGGAACATCTGGAAGCTATTACGATCGACGATCGAAGGATTGGTATTAGGCATAGCACAAATAAGGGTAACACCACCGGCCAATGCGGCAGCGGTGCCGGTGGCAAAGTCTTCCTTGTGCGTAGCACCCGGCTCACGTAGATGGACGTGGACGTCAATGAAGCCGGGCAGTTTGATGATACGACGCGAGGTCATACAATCGGTGTGGGTTTTCATGGCTGGACGACGACCAGTGATGCGCATCGATTCAACTAAAAGTTTGATGCACTTGACATCGGTCACCAATGGTATGGAGTAGTCGACAGCGAGGCGACGTGTACGATAGCCATGGGTCATGAAAGAAGATACTCTAGAGAAAGTACGATCGAGAAAAAGAGATGAGTGGAAGACAAGTTAAGAACCTTATTTATTAAAGTGGAGTGTGATGGAATAGGTAAACTAATAAATTCACTTGAAAAAAGTAAAACAAAATAAAAAATATAATAAATGCCAGACTGGGGTCTATTTCGATGTTTTAAGAAAGTCTCAATGTTAAAACGTCATTTGGCATGTATTTTGATCAATCCCGTAAACTTCTCAAAGTGTATTCGCAGCTTAATTCTCACCTTCTTGCGCCTCCGCCACGCATTGGCAGATTAATAACCATATCGAATTGTTTATTCGCCAAGAACTCAGCCAAGTGCCGAAGCTCACCGTTGGGATCTTCAGGTGATTGCTTATCAAAAGTCCACTGAACAGATTCCACCTGTAAAAGATAAGAAGTTATTTTATAAATATGGTTTTTTATAAATATACTGATATGTAGTTTCTCTTGAGAAAATATGTAAGTACATACATATGTATATAAATAAGTTTGTAATAGAGGGCTGCATGAATTCATTCAAACAGCCAAACAGAGTACAGTAGATTTGAATATTTTACTTCACATACAAAACACTCAGCGTTTGGAATTTTGTAAGTTATGAATATACATTTTGTTTTATATTTTCTACCTTCAAATGGAAGAATGTGAATAAATGAATGGAAAATATTCAAATCATTCAAACTCATTTCGGTAAAAGTTTTTTTCTACAAACAAGTTTTTTCGTATATAATAGGAGCGCAGCAATACATACATATGTATGTTTGTACATATGTGCATAGAAAAAATATTTTTGGATATTCATACAAAAAATTGTAATTTAATTCATTTTCACTTTGTTTGAATATTGTAATGTCGACACAAATATCAGAACAGCTATTCACTCAAATTCAGAAAAATTTGAAGCCAAAATCATTCATTCGTTTTGTATATGAATAATTCAAAAGCCGTTTTGAGTACATTCATGCAGCCCTCTAGTTTGTAAATATACGGATGTAACCAAATGGTACACATCGGTAATACAGAAAGGTTCTAACTAATTTTCCTTCAAAATCCAATTTGTGCAAAGGCGGTAGACTCATAACTTACATCCTTTTAGAATTTAAAATCACTAATAGAGCATAAAATTGGCTACAGTCTTAAATACTATATAATAAAATTATAGTTTAAAAAACTAAAACCTCCCTATTATAATTGCCATTAGTACTGTCATCAGAGAGAGAAATATTTTCAATAGGCCTGTTACCCATCTGAACAGTAAAAACCTAAAACCATACGCGCCAATATTATCACATCAATGTGGAATATTGTAACTCCGTGAAGTTAGAGGGTATTGATGGCAAACAAAGTATTATCATGTTTAGGTATGATATGATGACCCAATCGAACAATGAATGATGCACTTAACCACGCGATTCAAAGAAAGCAACAGCCGAAGTATTAGCCGAAGCGGTTCGTACAAATTTTCCACAATTGAACCAATAACAAAAAAATGCGTACGACTCTTTGATAGAAGCTGTAGACAATGGAAATAGTGGAATTTACTTCCTGGATGCTCCCGCAGGGACTGGAAAACCATTATTAATTTCACTGGAGAGGATACGATCGCAGAATGCAGTTGCATTAGCGTTAGCTTCATGTGGAATAGCAGCGACTTTGTTAGAAGACGGGCGTACGGTGACAGGTAACAAATTCAAGGGAAATAACGTCAATTGACACTATTTCGCATACTGGTGCGAAATAAAATCAATTAACATTATTACCTTTTCAAAAGCGAAGTAAAATTCGTTCGTTCCGATAATAAATAAGCAATAATTGCTTATACTCGCATTTTGGCATCGATTTGAAAGTGCAATCTAATAAATAGTGTCATTCTGCTTGGCTGCTTTTAATGACGTCACAAATTGTTGGCGGCGACATTAATAGGTACTTGTTCTTCTTCTTTTTTTTTGTTGCTATAACCGCCTAGGCGATTTTGGCCGACTTAATAGGTACAGTTTAAGAAAATTCGTTTTCTATAATTCTTTCCTTATAGAAAGGTGTCTTCTTTTACACCTTGGACATTCCGAATTCGTTCAAAATATGCTAATTTCAAAACAATGTTTTCAGTATTCCTCCCAGGTATTTGGACATGGCGGCAATTCACTGTTTCTTCGATTCAATAGTGTTCGCTTTATTTTTGGAAAAGAAACATGTGTTGCATGTTCTGGATCAATTCTACACTCTTTTTAAAATATTTAAATTTTTTTAATAAAATCAATTGGTGTTGGTTCATGATTGTGTTCATTAATAGCACTGAGGATTTGGCAATAACTTCTTTCACCTATGGAAACAACACTTACGGGGCAATGTTTATTGTAACAACATTCATATCTCACGTACGATGCAAGAACAACATCCATTTCTTGGGATCGACATACTTTAAGCATTGTTGACGCTATTTCCATTTGAATTTGGAAATACATAGCATCATTTACTTTATTTCCAAATTTTTGTTAACTTTATATCTCTTTTGAAAAGGTAATAACGTCAATTGACTTTATTTCGCACCACTATGGGAAATAGTATCAATTGACGTTATTTCCGTTGATTTTGTTACCTGCCACCGGGCAGACTGTACATTAAGCCTTGAAATTGCCACTGAACATGCAAACCAACGAAACACCAGCGTACAACATCGCCAAAAACAGTGAAATGGTATGCAAATTTATCGTTTAGGACGAATGCACGATGACCCATAAGAGGCCATTGGAGGCACTGGACAGAACTTTGAAAGATCTTCATAAGAGCCATCATTCTTTTTTTAACAACTTTCAGTCAGACATTTGTCAACATTCCACTATCAAATTTGTGACGTAATGTGAAGACGCTCCCTCGCGGGTGTTTTTGCAACAAGATCAAAGTACCGAGATGTTTTCGAAGCAAATGTTGGACATTGCTCAGAGGAAAGTGGCTGTTGACACCTCGACCGAATTCATCAGATAACCTACAGATTTCGGCGAAAAGGATTTAAGTCTGAAATTACACACTCTTGGCTGTACTATGGACAGAGTAGGGGANTATGTATTTACTTAGCACGAGTATATTGACAAGTGCATCAGCAAGGCATATTTTTGTATATTTGTGACTAATTAAGCTTGTGCCAAGTAGAAAAAACAAAAATTCACGCAAACTAGAAAACCAATACGAAATTAAACAACCACAAGTTAAATGAAATGACACCAGAAATTATCAATTACATAGAAAATCAAGTCAGACCATAGCGCAAAAGATGTGCATAGCAGTGGCAATTAAGTTAACTTGAATCGAAACACAAGAATAACTAATAACAAAAAATAAAAAATTAAATGCATTTTGATCAATGATTGCAAAACGTATTGCCTTGCCCATCGATTGCTATCTCTGCAAGCTTTTTGCTTTAGTAGAAACGAGACCGGCAGTGAAAGCGCACAGAGACATAAAAGTAAAATTTTTAAATTTTATTAAAAGTCTTGTTCATAAAAAAAGTGAATCTCTGAAAATTTACTAATTAAAAACAATTAATTAGGGAGAGTGTTTTGGCGCTGCACCAACGCAATAAATAGGTATAGAAAAAAAAAAAACAAAACACAACCACAACTACATACACAAAAAAAGAAATGGGCCGGTCCAGCTCAAAGCTGTTGGAAACGCCCAATAATCCTTTGCAAGAACTTCAATTGGAGGAGCAAAAGCGGGAACAACGCAAACGCAAGCAGCAGAAGCAACAAAAACAAATTGCGAAATTACAAAAGAAACAAGCGAAAAAGACAAGATGCAAACGCAAATCGGAAGGAAAAGGCGGCAAGGACACCGCCGAAAAGCAGATTTCCATAAAAACGAAACGTGCCAGTGGCGGCGTAGCGGAGCGTACAAATAGTCTAAATTCGCAAAGTACCAGCTATGAGATAAATAAAGAAGAATTCAATAGACAAATTGAGCAACAAATACAAAATCATCTGGATAGTGATCTCTGCGCATTCGTAATGAATCAAGTGTCCTTGACGCAACAGTTTTTCGGAAACTATGAAACGTAGGTATACATAGTGAGTGAGCGATAAACGACAAGAAAATAAAATTTTATGAAGCGGTACGTTGTAAAATCGGCACGATTCTTAAGTTCGAAAAAGTGATTTGGCATGAAGTTTTTGCCTGAGAAAAAATTTTTCGAATAATAATTTTACAGAATATACCAATCCTCTTACGACTTTCCAAATTTTCTCTTTACGGGGTTTTTTGAAGTGAGGGTCAAAACGACCCTTTCAGGCAGCAGCTAATGGGTTAAAGTGTTCTTCGAAAATATTTGTCATGAAATTTTAGTATATATATATGCCTTAACCTTTAATTTCTATCAGGCAGGTATTTTAAAATTTTTTCCACTTTTTTGAAAACTACTTAGGCCGAGACATGTAAACTTTAGGATTTTAATTTTATAGTTTTACGTTGGTGGCATAAAATTTTTGCCTGAGAATCCCCCTAGGAAATTGTGCGAAGAATAATTTCTAGAATTTATCAATCGTGTTACGACCTTCCAAATTTGCTTTTTGCAGGGTTTCTTGAAGTAAGGGTCAAAACGACCCTTTCAGGCGCGAGCTAGTGGGTTATAATGTTCTACGAAAATATTTCCCATGAAATTTTACTATATACGCCTCAACCTTTTATTTCGATCGGACATTTGTTTTTACGTTTTTTCGACTTGGCGTTCCTATTTTTATTTTCGCCACTGTATCCTACTACATTTGTTCAATTTTCTTGACAGTTTTTCTCTGTGTATATATGTATGCTTTTTTACAAGTTCCTAGACACAAAAAGGGTTGCCTTACTTTTTAGAACACATCAGGCTTCCTTCTAAGATAGATCAAGTATCGATAAAAGGTACACTGTCCATGTCCGCTTCCAGCCAGGAATCAAATGTCGAAAATATGCAAAAATTTATGTTTCGAGTAGCAGCAGAACTGGTCACAATTTTTTTTCTCACCTATTTACTTCCGTATATTTGCATTAAAATACTATATATGTATTCTAAAACACTTCTGTTGAATATCCATCAGTGAAGCCGGAACTCCACTTGTATTATTGCAATTTTATTGGCATTGACTTTCAAGTGCATGACTTTTTTTTATAAATTACAAACTCTTATCAATTCCATATCAACTTGCTCTATTTATATCGATGTATGTACCTACATAACTACATAAGTATTCTTATTATTTTTACTGCAGTGAATTGGCAGCCATTTCTGAGGAACTATTAGCCAAAGAGAATGAATTGAATCAGAATCTGGAGGAGCATTCTATACTACTGTCTACGCCCTTGGATGCAGCGGTATCAAAGTGGATACAATACAGGCCAATGTAAGCTAAAATGCGTAAATATGTATGTAAGTCGACAGAGAAATTGAGATTGATTAGAAGCCTTTGATTTCACAAATTGAAGATAGCCGGCTAGGTATTTGAACAAGCGACAACCCTAGTTGATACCGTGGAGCACGAAGCTATAGACTTGTCCGAACAACGCACAATCTGCATAGCGAGGCCCAAATATTACCAGTAAATCAGGAGAATTCAATGCTCCGCAAGCAGGTTCAGGTTTTATTAAATCAATAAATTTTCGGGTGTCGACATTTGTAGGTTTATGTGCTTCGGGGAATCAATAGAAAGGAACCATAGCAGTTGAAATTTCATTCTGATTTACCGAATCGGTGTAATCGAGTCTGCCAGCTTTCAAAAAGGCTGGACTGGCAAGCATTTGATTTCCATCAAAGTTTGTAAAGACAAGTAAGAAAGTCTAAGTTCGGGCGGAGCCGAACATTAAATAC